TGCCCAAGGTGTACGCGAAATCATAAAATCAAGGAGTGTAACTCGAGCGCCCTACAATGCGTAAATTGCCTGAACCATAACAAGGTATACAAGAAGATTCTACCAGTTGATCATTCGGCTAATTTTCCAAACTGTCCTGTGTTTCTCAATTATGTTCACTCTAAAAGAAAGGGTGGATTATGGCTAACACTATAAAAAGTGTCTTGAAACTATGTCACTTAAATGTGCGTTCTCTAACAGCTCACTTTAATGATTTTGCCTCTCTTGTTCAATATAAGTTTGATGTTGTAGCAGTCAATATACTTGGGTATAATTTCTTCCGTAAGGACCGTGGGAGCAGAGGGGGTGGCATCGGTCTCTATGTTAAATTAGATATTAGCACTAATCTTATCCCAGTTGATCTCGATGACTTTATAAATCCTCTTGAAATCTTATGCTATAAATTTAAACTGCACGGGTCCAGTACGTTAATTGTTGTTATATATAGGCCAACACATTGCTCTATACATCAAATCTTATCTCATTTTTCACTCCTGAATATGACAACATTATATTCTTGAGCGATATGAATGTAGACTTGCTTGCTCATAACAACATCCTCAGCAGCTGCTTTGATTCATTCAATTTCATTCAAGTCATTGATGAGCCTGCACGTGTTACAGCCTTCAGTTCCACATTACTTGATCCAATATTTGTTAGTGACAATACTATCGTCAAACGGTCAGGGACACTCAATGCAGACTCAATTAGTGATCATCGGCTCACATACTGTGATATTTCCGTTTGTTATAAAAAAATAGAGCCTAAATTTGTAACATATAGAAATCTTAATAGCATTGATATTCAAAGGTTTAAGACGCAGAGTGCATCAATGCAGCTTAATAACATTTATTTCGTGAATGATGTGGATATTAAAGTCTCTATTTTTACTGGCCGTCTTATTTATCTATTCGATCTCTACGCTCCGCTACGTACAGTACGTGTCACAAAACTTGCTGCGCCCTGGCTCACTCCTAACTTGAAAATGATTTTTCAACTTAGAGACGAAGCATTCGCTGTCTATCAGCATAACAGATCTGATCAGAATTGGGCCAGCTACAAAGATTTGAGAAATTATGCCCTTGCATCGCTTAGAAGTAAAAAAGCATATATGTCACGTTTCCGGAATCTTAACTCTAGTCAAGCTTGGAAACACCTGAGGAGGATGAATGTGGTAGCTCAGAAACATGTTGCGATACCTCCCAGTCTTCTTGAGCCTAACATTTTAAACAATTATTTTCTTTCAATTTTCACAGCCGCAGCTGATCCAAATTTGATTGATAGTGTCTCTAACTCTTATAGCGATAGACACCATACACCGGATGCACCTCTGTTTGCTTTTAAACTCCTTACTCAGCAAGACATCGTCAATATAATCTCTCACATTAAGTCTACAGCATGTGGCTCTGATGGTCTAACTTTAAATATGGTTCGCTTATGTTTGCCTGATACCATAGACGATATAACTCACATTATTAATGTCTGTCTCGAAACAGGTTACTTTCCTGCCAGTTGGAAAAATGGTATTATTATTCAAATAGCTAAAACTAATCATCCATAACAATATTCGGATCTCAGGTCAATTACCTTATTATGCTTTCTACCAAAAATACTCGAAAGAGCTGTCTACTCACAACTAGTGGAGTTTTTCGAACAAAACCACTTATTTCCTCTACATCAGTCAGGTTTCAGAGCTGGTTACAGCACTACTTCGTCTTTATTACATCTTACTGATTCCATCATTCACAATTTAGATAATCACATCAACACCGTCTTGGTACTGTTAGATTTCTCGAAAGCCTTTGATATGGTCAATCACCAGATACTACTGAGTACGTTATCATTATGGAATGTCAGATATAGTTCTAAGGTTCTTTGAGTCATACTTGCTAAATCGTCAACAAACAGTGAAAACTGATCAGGAAATTTCCTCCTCTGAGCCAGTTCCTTCAGGAGGTCCTCAGGGCTCAGTATTAGGCCCCTTACTATATCTGATTTATACGATCGATCTGCAAGACTGTTTAGCTCACTGTAGTATGCAAACTTATGCAGATGATACTCAGTTAGTGTTTGGTTTCGATCCATCAAAGGTTGATGAAGTTTCTTTTAAAGTTAATTTAGATTTGGCTAACATCGGTGATCACTGTAACAAACACTGCTTGAAGATCAATCCTAATAAAACTACTGCAATATTGTACTGTTCGACGAACTGCTACCGTGAAATGAAGCAGATGATTTGTGTTTTTTTGGATGAGACACTCATCCCTTTTGTGGATTACGCCAAGAATCTCGGTGTTACCCTTGACTTAAATATGAGATTCGATCGGCATGTCTATTTCTTATCTAGAGTAACGTATATGCGTTTGAAACTCCTCTATTCTAATCGATACATCTTGAATTTTAAAACCCGAAAAAAGCTCGCTGAAAGTCTTGTGTTGTCTGTCATTTCTTACTCTCTTGTTTTTTATTACCCATGTTTAGACTACGTCCACAAAAGGAAACTCCAGAAAATTCAGAACAGCTGTTGTAGGTTTACTTTTGGATTGCGCAAGTTTAGTCGCGTCTCAGATAAAATCAAAGAACTCAACTGGTTGCGAATTGATAAGTTATTTTTATATTTTTTGACCGTCTTCACGCATAAAGTTCTACTATCTAACAGACCAGCTTACGTCGCTAGCAAATTAGTTCACCGAGGTAGTTTTGTTACCAGAGCTCTTAGATTTAATGCTAATTTTAACATACCTCCTCACAATACCTCGGTCTTTGAAAGAAGTTACACCTATAATGCTGTCAAGCATTACAATGCAGTCAGCAGTGGCTATCGATTTCTTTTAAGAAATTAATGAAAAGTCAGCTGCTGGAGTCCATTTAGTTCAGTTTTTCTTGTGTTCATGTGATTTTTTTATTGTTTGACTATTTTCTACTATTTTTGTTTCAAATGTAAAACTATCGCAATACTATCTGCATTTGTCTCGTGCAATCAATGTTGTCATTCTTATGAATTGTATTTTTTTTTTGGTATGTTATTATTTTGTTTATGTGTTTAAGTGTTCTTTTTTCCTGTTGTGGGGTTGAGTGTAAGAGTAGCCGTCTGGCTAAACTTCGCCTCACTGCAGCTAATAAAGGCATTATTATTATTATTATTATTATTATTATTATTAGAAACGTATTTCCGCAAAATTTGTTGTGGCTTGAATTTGATGAAACGCATTATCTAATCTTTCTTGTAACTGATCAACAATATTCATTTGTTCGGCATACACTAGCTGTTTAAAAGCGCCCAACAAAAAGAAATCCAGGGGGTTCAAATCAGGGGACCTCGCAGGCCAATGTACGGGTCCGTTTCTACTAATCCATCGTTGTCTAAAATGACTATTTAATCATGCGTTTATGACACGATGAACATGCGGTGGGGCACCGTTGTGCTGATACCACATTCGTACTCTCGTTGCTAACGGAACATCATCTAACACATTTTCTATATAGGTCTCTAGAAAAGCGAAGTATGAGAGAAAATCTGTGTTGAAACGAGTGGATTCTGACAGTGTTCATTATGAGAAATAAAGGTTCCACTCATCCTAAAAAGCGATACATCTGACCACAAAACCAGATCAATAAAATTTGCATTTTGACTATGCATTTGCAGTAACCACTAACAAAAATTTCGCCGTTGCACTTTGTTGCCGGGTTGCAAACATTGCACTTTTTGCCGATGGTAGGAATGTAAAACTTCCCGATTTGAAATTCTCGACCCAATACTTTGGAAACATGGCAACTGGGCTTAGTACTTATACTAGGATCATCCAACACCAAATTAATCACTTCCCGTTCCTCTTCAATGGTATGCCGGACACCATGGCCTTTAACTCCGGGAAGTTTGACAATTCCATATAGAAATGAACACGTAAAAACCTTCGGGGTAGGTTGACGTCTGTAGTAGTTTGCCAATAATGGAACATTCAAGCGGCCGTCCCGTTCGCCAGATCTAACAGTTTTGGATCACTCCCCATGGGGTACAATAAAAAAATACTGTTTACCAGAATGCACCGACCACCCTAGATGACTGCAAGCAGAGAGCAAGAAATACATTTGCCAGTTTGAGTTCGGAAATCATAAGAACTGCCACTCGTCAGGAGCTAATACGTAAATGTTTTAAATGTTTGGAAGTTAGGGGCGGTCACCTTGAACACTCTCCAAAACAAGGTGCTTCCTGTTATGCTTCAACCCTGCTTTATAGCAGTATGCAAGTTAAATAGAAATCGAAGCAGCTCACTGCCTCCTGCCGCTCACCTCACTGCATGTCCGCCCTCGAAGAAAAAACGTTACATAAAAGACCCCTCTTAAAAAGCGTTACAAGTTATTTTAGCAACAAATTTTGGTCAAATCAATCGCAAACTATGTACTAAATACCTATTGAAGTCTACTTTAAGCTTTAAATCAATAAATCTTCAAAACTACTGAACTGAAGCTCATGTATTTTATATCATTATAAATGGAATTGGAAGACCTTTAAAATAAGGTATCACTCGACCCCCCTTTCCTAAGATTTTAGGGTTGATGTCACCTCCGCCCAAGGGGCTGCACGTGTTAACGTGATTGTTTGCCAAACTTGTGTCCCCCTCGAAAACAAAATCGTCGGGTCTGAGCTTTTTTCAAAAAAAAAAACTGAGCTGCCAGTAAATGCGTGTTTCGTTTAAGATGCGCCACCCTGTATATACTAAAATTATACTCTTAGTTAACAGTAGACCAGTTCGGAATAATACGTCACTATTAACCATTCTCAGATGAGCTCGCTGTTAAGCTTTGAGGATTCATACAAAAACTGCACTTGAGTCGAGTGAGTTAGAACCAGGAAGTATAAGATCGAAAGTACTTCTTGTATGGTTTCTTGTCGTTTGCGAGAAAAGTGCGACTCGGGTGGCCTACTTCCTTATATTCATTCAAAGTTTTTACTTTTTTAGAATGCTCTTTAAGTTACGGATAGAACTTGTATCAGACGCTGGATATCGTCAATACTATTGCACGAGACTAAGTTGGCTAAAACTGTACTGTACTGTACTGTACTGGAAACACGTGTTTACCCTATTTATACCCAGCAAGGGGATAAAGGTAATTATCGGAATTGGGTCTCTATGGTCAATTACAATTAGTAGGGTTTTGTGATGTGGTTTATTTATCGTTAGTTCGGTGAGGAATTTCGATGTATTGCGAGCTCGATTAGGATTTCTCGGAATATCTTTGAAAATTGATTTAGTATCGTTTAAAAAGGATTTACAAGGGTATTCACGAGTATTATATATATATAATGATATGCGAATATTTAGGGGCGTGAATCTACATGAAAAATGAATGTTAGCTTGCTTTATAAACTATGGTCCAAACATGTTTCCTTACAAAAGCTCTAGGTGTATATACGTTTTATGAAAAAAATGGAAATTAATTAATATTTTCAGAACCGCTTCAGATATTGCACTGATGCTTAGTACGTAGTGAGAGTTAATAAAGTTGCATATTTTTCAATACAAATATAATTTTTAGCTTTAACAGTTGCGTGCGTACGGGTATTGACTTCGATATTTTTTAAGACAAAATGCTACGCCAATGGTTTTTTGACAAATTTGACAAGTCTCTGTTATCCAAATTTGTTCGCTGTGACATCTTTTTCATTATTTAGTCCTTACAATCTTGTTAATAATGGTGAATTATTCAAATGCAGAAATGGCGGAAATGCATTACGTAATATATGGCCTTGCCGACGGTAATGGTGAGCGCCAGACGTATTTATCTCCAGAGATATCCCGATCGTGCTTTGCCAGATAGTCGAACCTTTTCTAATATTCATCGTCATCTTGTTGTAACTGGTTCTGTCCTAAAAAGAACATCTGAAGATAGATCATCTCTAGGTGTGAGAACACCTTATATTGAGGAAGCAGTGCTGCACGAAGTCGAAGAACATCCTGAAACGAGTACGAAGATCGCTAGACACTTGAATATTTGCCATCAAATTGTTTGGAGAATTTTAGTGGATTTTTTGTTATATCCTTACCATATTTTAAGAGTACAGGCATTACTTCCCATTGATTTTCCAAGGCGTGTGATCTTTTGTCAGTGGTATCTTCAAAAAATAACACAAAATCTGCAATTTGAATCAATGATTCTGTTCAGAATTTCCACATTAATCATTTGTGGGCAGAAGAAAATCCCTATGCCGTAACCGAAACCCATTTCCAACACCAGTTTTCAGTTAACGTATGGGCAGGAATTATTTGCAACGGCATTATTGGCCCACTCTTCTTGCCGAGACAACTTGACAGACAGACATACCTCAATTTTGTTCAACAACAGTTGCCTTTGCTGATTGATGATGTTCCGTTAGTAACAAGAAACAATATGTGGTACATGCATTATGGTGCACCAGCGCATTTCAGTGTAGAGGTTCGTAATTATTTACAAACTGTTTATCCAAATCGTTGGATTGGCCGCGGTGGGCCCCAAGAATGGCTACCGAGGTCCCCAGACCTCAACAGTTTAGATTTCTTTTTGTGGGGCTATCTTAAGACATTAGTGTACACAAGTCCCATCAACACTGCAGGCGAATTAAGAGAAAGAATAGTTGCAGCTTGTGATAGAATAAAAAGCACTCCAGGGATATTTCAACGAATGCGCAATTCCATGAGAAGGAGGGCGGAATCATGAATACTATGTAAAGGGGGCCATTTTCAACAATCTTTGTAATCATTTCGTTGGTTTAGTGTTATGTTTATCTTGACAGTTGTTGTTGTTCATTACCCCTAATGTGTTTAATTTTTCCAATTAAATTAATAATAATTTTGCAAGTTAGACAATAGAACGGTTTTTATTCTTTTACTCAAAAATGGCGCATCAAAGGAAACCAACTCAAGAGAGGCCGTTTGTTTTAAATTAATTTATTTGGCAAAAAATCATAGGCGTACCATTTTTTTCTTAAATAATGTTGAAGCCAATATCCGTACGCACGCCACTGTTAATGTTAAAAATTATTTTTGCATTGAAAAAGATGCAACTTTATTAACTTGCACTACGTGTTAAATATCAGTGAAATATCTGAAGCGGTTCTAAAAATATTCATTATTTTCCATTTGTTTTCCTAAAACTTCAAAACCCCGAGGTTTTGTAAGGAAAAATTTTTTGAAGCATAGTTCATAAAGTAAACTAACTTTAATTTTTCATGTAGATTCACACCCTTGAATATTCGCATATCATTAAGGAACACCCTGTATATTCGAGGCACAGAGAATGTTTTCTTTTCTGACATAGGAAAGCTTTTATAGCCACTCTCAGGCAGAAGTATCGCCCTGTCGGCCTTCCTGCTGGAAGTGTCAGATTTTACAGCAATGCGGGATGGTCACTGAACCCGTCAGTCGTTCGATACACCTCCCGGTAATACTTCCATCATTTCGTCATGGTGGACGGCGTTGCATCAAGTTTTCATACCAGAGGTATTATAATTTAATTGTCAGTAGTGTACCTCCCGCCGAGGGTCAGTTCCAGCCGTCTCTGGTAGTCAACCCATCTACCACATTCGAGTAGATGATTAGGAGTATCCTTTCGTAGCAATATACGCAGTTCGCGTTCTCTCTCTCTTTCCTACGCGCTTTAGGTAGCTATCAAAACAACCATGTGAGGGACTGTGTAGTAATACATCCGCATCGCTTCCCTGTAAATCTCAATTTCCGGGATCAGCTTGCTAGTCATGTAAAAGGGCCAATTGCACCTCCATTTCGTCGCTTCTAGCTTCGGCACTTTTTTCATAGGGTGGATATTATCTCTTCTCAGCCAGCATATCAATTGGCCGGACACCAGCCACCAACAGGCGGTCAACACAATTCTGTATGCGCAGGCTTCGCGCAGCACTACTATTCGCTGGCTTCTGAGCAGCGACTCTCTATATTTCTTTTCAGAATAATGGAATTGGTTAACCCTGCCAAAATCTTACTCGTCTCATTACTGTAGCCTCCATCAGATAACATTAGACTTATCAACGATGCAACCATTTACCTCATCAGAATCCAGATACTTAATTGTATTTTGCCTTCTTATCTGGGTGTTCTGAACATTTACAGTTACTCAAATTAGCTTCTGTCGGCCAGCGAGTATAACCGTTTCCGTCTTATCAGAAGTTAACTCCAAGCCAATTTCCTCCATCCGGATGGTAATTCTCATAATTCCATATGCCAAGCCTTTCTGGGGTACATCTCTCTGTGACAATTATTATCATCACCAGGTTGTCAGCGTATCCTATCCTGAAGCATCGCTAACCAAAGGACCTCATCGTAGCACACGCTCCGCAGCAACGACCCTAGGACGAAGAGGTACTCCATGATCGTCCTCTCGTTAAAACACTACCATATCATGTTCAATAGCTAGCAAGGAGTTCCTAGCTTCTCGATTTTCTGCAAAAAGGGAATAGAAGGAAACATTGGAGCGATGCTGATCATCTTGATGAAAAAACTTTGCCTGGTACCCGCTCTTACATCCCCTGCTTTGCCAATATACACAAATCACACACTGTTTGGGGCGGTAACATCAAACCGCTGTTTCCATTTTCACACTATAAGATGCTATACCTTTAGAAACATAGTGTATAGGTCGCACCATCATGAGAAGATAACACCTTACGATATCGCTGCTATTTTTAACAATGCTTATGTTAAGGCTGCTAATATAGCAAAAGGTGTAAGTGGTTTTGTATCGGCTAGGATATTCCCTCTTGATCCGGAAATTCACAGAAGAATATTTTGCAGTGCGATTAGAGGTTGAATAGAGATTACCTGTTATAGAAGACAAAGATGTTGCTGTTGCTGTAGCCTTGAGGGATACTTCAATCTCCGGAGTCCAGGACAGCCCAACTGCAGCCCGAATGGAACTCCAGATCACATAGATGTCGGATCTCTGCAGAATTCACCTACCATGCCTTGTTCGGATGCCTTGTGCTCAACCTCAATCAAAAGTAGTATCTTTTAAATCTCTTTGTCCCACGCCTCAGTCTAAAATAGCGAAAATAGCTTCAAGAAAACAACATTCAGTTATTTTTACGAAGTCCCCAAATATAGCACAACTGGAAGAGTCAGCTACAGTGAAAGCATTAAAGAAAAAGATTCAACAACTACAAGAAAAGATAAAACTTAAAAAGTAAGAGAAGAAAATATCAAAACAAGACATGATACCCAAAAGTAAAACTATAGGAAACTCTAAGCCAAGAAGCCTCAATTTCAAGACAGCAGGATTTGGTAAGTCAAAAAGCCGAAGAAACAATAGATTTGATGATTCATCATCAGAAGATGACCCCACTGACATAAAAGATATTTGTCAAGATGATTACTTGGACGATATGGACCAAAAGAATTCATTTCTAGAAAAAGGATTAACTAGAGATGATTGTTTTACTGTACGGTGTACTCGAAGCCCCGACCCCCGGTGGGCCCAAGAAAATCCTCATACCATTCGTGAAGGTCATTTGGGCTATTTCGTACAGGGACACTTTTTCGATAATTTTATTTTAAAATGTAAACAGTGGAACGATTCCAATTTCTTTGGGTGTAATTAGGAGTCAATGGTCCAAATTTTAAGTTGCTTTTTCTTTATATTTTTATACTTAATATTAGCTTACCACTGACAACTCTCGTTTAAGTGAAAAATATAGCCCCGCTTTCCCCTACCATTTGAGTGGAGTGGCTTACTATAAAAATAAATAAATTGGTTCCGAAATACTGAAGAGGCGCTCATATTTTATATCTAATGCTGGGATATGATATCTAATATTGTATCTACTTGTACCATCACTTTCCACGATTAACGATCTATGATGTGTTTTGGTCGTAAACACTTTCGAATTATCAATATAAATAATAAAACGTTAAATTTCCTGACATTTTACGATGTCTCCGTCACGAAAATGCATTTCACATATCTCTCTATATACTAATCATAGTGAAGAAAATATTACTGCTTCTACGTATTGCAGAGGTATCATTCGTTTCCTTCACATTAATAAGCCAAAAAGAAATATGCTACACCAAAATCTAAACCTCGAGCAGCCATGGAAAGATCTCTATGGACTTTCACCCAAACGTAAGTGTTTTTATACTGACGCAGAATCAGAAATCTAAATACCGGGATACGCTGACTACGATGAACTTAAAAATACTTAGCTAAGGCGGTTCATCACGTCATACAAAGTCAATATAATCCTAGTGAAAACAGCAGACCCGCCTTGTAGGGTAGAAGTACCGCCCTGTACCATTGTATTTTATTACAAGGCCAGTACGTAAACAATTCAATATGGCGACAAAGTCGGGATAATATACTAAGTGACATATAAATCCGAACACCCAGATTAAATGTTTTTATTTTAATAAAAGTTGGTGAATGTATTTATCTTACTGTAAATAACAAGTGAAAAAATTTTCAGCCTTATCAGTTGGACATTCCGGTTTTTATACTGATTTTTTTTAATTCACTAACGCTCTAAAAATGAGTATTTCAGCCGCAGTAAAGAATCAACGTTGGCGGATTTTGGTTCTTGACATCCTTTACGATCGGTTATGATGCCTAGAGTACGGAGACCTGTACGATTTCGTCAAATCAGTGAGTTTGATAGGGGCCGTATAGTGGGACTTCGGGAAGCTGGACTTTCTTTTCGGGCAATTGCAGTTAGAGTGCAAAGAAGTGTAGACACTGTGATTAGGTGTTATCAGGCATGGCTTCGAGAAGGCCGTACGCAAAGAGCAAGGGGCACTGGACGCCGCCGTAGAACAACAGACCGTGAAGATCGCCGCCTAAGATTATTGGCCTTAAGGGACCGTTTCTCCACTACCAGGTCCATTGCAAATGAATGGCTTGCAGAACACGGAAGACCTATTGGCATGCGAAGTGTTTACCGACGATTGAGAAGTTTTGGCTTGTTTTCATACCGGCCACACTGGGTCCTCCCTTTAACTCGAGAACACCGACGTAATCGCCTTGAGTGGTGCAGACAACGGTCACTCTGGGATCAGGAATGGAACAGTATTGTCTTTAGTGACGAGTCTCGATTTCGTTAGGCATGCCCGATGGTCGTGCCAGGGTTAGAAGGCGACGTGGTGAAGGAGGAATCCGCAGTTTTTTGTTGAAAGACATATTCATCGCACTGTTGGAGTTATGGTTTGGGGTGCTATAGCTTATGGTTCCAGGTCACCTTTAATCTTCATCAGAGGCAACATGGATGCGCAGCGTTATATCCACGAAGTTCTAGAACCCCATCTTTTACCCTATCTTGACATTCTGGCAGATCCAACTTTCCAACAAGATAATGCCCGACCACATGTTGCAAGAGTCACAATAGACTTCTTTCAACATAATGATGTCACATTGTTATCATGGCCACCAACATCTCCCGACTTATCCCCAATTGAGCACGTGTGGGATATGATGGGTAGGAGATTGCTCAATTTGCAACGTCCTCCTCAGACTCTAGAAGCACTTCGAGAGGAGTAGGTGGTTGCCTGGAATGAGATACCACAGGAGGACATTGACCACCTGATCAGAAGCATGCCTAGGCGCGTTGGAGAATGCGTAGCACATCAGGGTGCATCCACACATTATTAAAGGTCAAAGGGCTTTAAAGCAGTGCAATCATTTTGAAATTATTATCATTTACTTATTATGCTTCATTAAGTACTTATACAAAATTTTATTAAAATAAAACCATTTAAACTGGGTGTTCGGATTTATATGTCACTTAGTATATTATAGTCACTTACTTGGTGGTCGAATGAAAATGATCCATATCCTTTTGGCAAGCTTTTATGCTCGGTTTGTCGGGAAAAATACTTATCTGTAGAAAAATGATTTGAGTACCGACTCATGGTAGTTACCATTACATTTGTGAACCCAGACTACTAGTAAGGATTCGTCACACAGACTGAATCATGGGATCGTCACACAGACTGATCAGTGAGTTGTAACACAGGCTGACGATTTGGTCGGTAGGTGTCCAGACTGACATGTTGAGCTTAACGATAATTACGAAAAGAAGACCAAGAACCAGGTTATCACGTTATCGTGCCAATACCCAAAGCGCCGACGTTACCCCTGATCCAGAGAGATAACCATGCACCATGTTTATTTTAAACTAAAAATCCCTACACACATCCTGCCATGTAATCCTTTTAGACTCAAGCGATTGCCAACAAAAGATAGTTAAACGGTCACTCAGACTAAGGATGTCACGTCGGCCAAAAGCCATCCTGTCAACATCTCGAGCGCTCCGGGCAGAAGAAACCGAGCATTAATTAAGAGGGTAAATCGTACCGATTTTTTAATTTTTGACCACTGTACTCAAAAATTAAACTCTTTATTGACAATATTAGTACACGAGCACAAATGAACATTTAGCTTTTAATATATCTCACCATATCTTCAATAATGTTCTCTTCACATATAGAGCAGTACCAATCAGTAGGATCATATTCAATTTGAGCCTTTACCTCGGCAGATTTCGAAGTGGAAGATTGACCGTCACGTGCTTCAAAAAGTAGAAGAAAGCTCAAGATTTTTTTTTACTTCTTTGGTTGATGTTAGCCTTTGGTTACGTTTGTTTTCTAATTCATCCTTATAGGGCGTGGTGCTCAGAATGACGGCTGGTTGAGAAAATGTTCGTCTCTTAGCGTAACCTTTATGGCCGGGTAGAGGGTAAATTTCTTCAATAGAGGTATTGAGATATGTTGTGTTCCAATTTTTGTTTTGTTCAGTACTATCACTGTGAACTGGTGGCTCAGTAGCATCGTATTTAGGCTCAGGAGTCGTTTCATGTAGATTTTCTGCCTCTGAGTCCTCACTTGCTTTTTCTGAATAATTTTCAAGCAAGTCATTAGCAGCGATAAAATCTGTCTCAGAAAATACAGTGCGGTCAACGGGCAATATTCTAGTTCTTTTGAAACCATTCATGTATACTCGTAGTGCTTACTGATGCTGTTTTTGCATAGGCATCAGAGAGCAATCCAGCCATGTTGTATTGAGAATCAGTGTTACCTGGATTGCTTCTTAAAAATGTTTCTAGACCTTGAGAAAAATAGGATTCCATAGGCTGAAAAAAGCTCACGTCTAACCGATACATCCAACCGATTTGTATTATGGCCAGGGAGTTGCAGTAGTACAATTCCCTGACTTTTTGCTAAAATGAGTGCCTCTAGATTTTTAGAGTGACACAGCGCACATCCATTTAGTAAAAGTAAACCTTTTTTTCGGTACTTGGTTTTACCTACTCTATGAAGTGCTGTAACCATTTAACAAAAAGTTCACTATTTATATATCCACTATCTGAAATTGTAACAATAGTGCCAGGTATTGCACCTATGGTAAGCTCTGGAGCCATACGTTTTCTCTTAAAAATTATCAAGGACGGTACAGTTTGACAGGCAGCACTGGCACAAACGACAACTGTGGTATTTACGTCCCTTTCACCACTTGCTATACCTCCAACTTGGTGCTTTCCTCTACGTGCAATTATTTTTTGATTCCGTTTCTGAACTGCTGAAAATCCACTTTCATCAACATTACAAATTTTTTGAGCCGTAAAACCATTTTCATCAACAGATTTTTCTAAAATATCGAAGAACGCATGGACGTTTTTTTGGTTGAATCCAGTTGCTCTGGCCATGGAGGTTTTCTCTGGATGTCTAAGTAACAGTTCAGGATGACGGTCCATAAAAGAATAATACCATCCTTTTCCCGCCATTTCCTTATTGATACTGAAACGGTGTGGAATATCATTCCGAACAGCTATTTGAAAAGCCAATCGTCGAACATCTCTCGAATTGTTACACCAAAAAATCTTTCTTCCAGTTTTAAAATATGTTTTGCCAATTCCATTTCAATTTCAGGGCTAAAGGTTCTGTGTCGACCCAAAAAATGAACATTTTCATTTGCCTTTTTATTTAAAGAACGCAAGTGCCTTCTAAAAGTCTGCTTTGGAATGTTATAACGTCTGCAGCACTCATTAAAACCACACTGGTTTTGTTTGTAAGCATTAATCGCATGGTCTATATGTTCTGAGTTCCATCGCCAGTATTCCCGTTTTGTTATTTTCTTATTTATATTTTATATATACTTATATATACTTTACTCATCTTATTTTTTAAAAACCTGTAATAAAAG